ATTAACTTGCGAGTAGGAAGAAGATTTTTATTACAGTTGCAGTAAAACCAATGGTGAATTGGCCACTATTCTTATGTAACTACAGTGTGATGTTGGTTAGAAGATTTTCTGTTGGTAGCAAATCATCTGAAAGTGTGAGATGGTGTCTTCAGTGCAGAAATGTGTTTGATTTGTAAACTACAGGCTCTGGGTTCTTGTTTCTCTTAGTGTTTTTTAATCTAATGAACGTACTCATTGCTTCTTTTACTTACCTGTTAAACCAAAGCTTTCATGGTTGAGATCATCCTAGTCTGATCTCAAATTTCTTTACCAATTCTTAACGTTAGGCGTCAGTCCATACTAGCTTGTCATTAGCAATGTTGCATTTACAGGTGTTTGGGGAGATTTGATATCCCGGTTGCTGCAGTAAATAGCCTGGGGATTTTTACCTTGAAAGGTTGTTAAACAGGTACTTGTAGGGTTCGGGGTAATTTAATATTATGCTCAATTAATGTTGTGCGTGGTACAGACAGAACAGAGGAGCTGTATTGACCTAAGTGCATCTCTGCGTGTGCAGTGAGTCACTGTGTACAGCCTATACCACTGAGAGCCGTGAATCATAGTTAACATTTACACATGTAATAAGTGACAGCATACAATATGTTATATTATATATTATTAAAGCATATTAGAATTTTTTTTAAATCCTTAATGCTCCCAGGTCAGAGTTACGGTACTTATAATACATCAGAGGAAACCCTGACGGTTATTTGTGGCCTAGCTATAGTTTGCATCGTCACATTTTTGCTCTTCTCTTGCACAAATTTCAAGTAACGTGAAGTTTCCACCTTCAAACTCTGTTGTTTTCAAACAGAGGCTGGGTGATCGATGTGCAAATGTGCACTACATATTACTGTTTTTTTCCTATCTGCCCATCTCACTGATGTATGAGGATATTTGTAAAAACTTAAGTAATCAAACAAAGGCAGTAAGTGGTTTAACCTCCTAGGACCTGGTGTCCACATATATGAACATCACATTTTGGGTTATTTAGACCAAAATACTCAGTTTTTCTCTACAAGGGCCTGATATCCACTTACGAGGACATTATACTGCTACTGTTCTATCGAAATTTTAAACGAATATCCTCATATGGTCTTATTTTTCTTAAAAACAAAAATAAGGTAAAAAAAAATCTGGTAATTCTTTGTTTTTACATTCAATCAGCCCAAATATCAAAGAGAAATTAAAAATGCATGCCGTGGAAGAGTTCGGGTCTTAGGAGGTTAATGAGTAACTGTAATAAGGGCTACTATTTCACAAAGGTCACTCCACATGTTTCACATGCTTCACGCATGCGCAGGACTGGAACGTAAGCGCACAACTCTGTGAAAACGACTGAAAACGCTAGTGTGAAGTGTTTTCAGATGAAAAGGCCGTTTTTATATCTATCCGGGCTAGTGTGGAAGTAGTCTAAGTAACCGATTGCCAGATTACTCACAGACAATGTAGTATGATTATAGATTAGTTGAAGTTCTTGGGTAAAGAGCATCCAGACACATTGTGCAGAGTGATGAAGTTCTTCTTTACCAGCGAAGGACAACCATTTCTTTGTGGAAAGTCCCCAAACTGTCACCACAAAAATTGTTGTCTTGCACTGTATTATTATAGATGAAATATATGAAGTGGTGGTAGCCTTCTGGGTCTAAAAAGTGAACATCATGTGCCTTAAACCTGCATTCTTTCAAACGGCCAGCGGGAGGGACTTTGATGTTTGCAAAAATAGGTCTGCTTGTATGGACGTTTATGGGAAAATCACCCTCGGCTACTTTGATCTGTGTCCTCAGTAGACACTTTCCACATGACTGTATGATCTTAGTTTCTCATTTCTAGTAGCATGATCATCATTTTGTGCGATACAGACTCTATTGGAGTTGTAAACGAGGTTAAGGGAGGGCAGGCCAACCTGATTGACAAGTTTCTACCTTGTATATGTCGTAGTATGAAGATGTACCTGGATTATTGTGTGGAAAAGGATTCTGCATATATTCTCCATAAAACAGAGCAAATCTTAATCTTATTGCAACACAACCAGAGTGCAACAACAATAAAGAGAATGGTTAGTAGAGTTGCAACATCAGCAGTGTTCATGTTAAAATGTCACCATCTTCGATATGAAAAGCCAAACAGTTTGCCCAGCACTTCCTCGGGGCCTTTCCTCCGTGGACATATGATGCTGCTGCAGTTTACTAAGGAGTCCAGGCTGCAGCTCCTGCTTATCAAGCAGCCGCCATTGGAAAGAAAATGTCACGTCATGTCACTCCCGGTTGGGTCGCTAGATCAAACGCACGTGCTCAGCTGAAGCAAAAACACTCAGGAACAAATGTCACCCAGCTTTGTCACCGTGATTGAGAAATAATCACTTGATCTTGTTATGTGCCTGAACGTGTGTCTGAGCCTGTACTGTAATATCCTGTGAGTGTGACGGGGAGACATGGGGGGGGCGCTTGTTTGGCTCGGTTATCATTTTGAATTCAGGCTGTGTCTCCATGTTTGTTTGGAGGGGTATACATTTATTAGATTTTCTTTTGGACACTGTTTGTGTTCTTGCCTGGCCCTGTCTTTCACAAGAAGATGCAAAAAAACTGCAAAATTAGCTTCTCTTTTAGTTTTCACTACCAACACAACAACCTGGTTTAGTTACAGCCCATTTTACAAGTTTCCCACTGAGACCAGACTTTCATATAAGTATGAAAACCAGTTCTTGCATAGCAAAGAATCCTCAAACATAGTCAAATGTTTTCCTACCATTTAAAATAAGGAGTCAAATAAAGACTTTGAGAAGTAGAGACTAAGAGTTGTGTAGATCTCAGCTGTAAATCTGCTATGCAGGAACACAGCAAAAGGTGGTGCTGTAAAAGCGCACAGAACAGCTCTGCAAGCCTTCAGACAAAAAAACAAAACATTTAAGCCTGCACACAATAAGAACTATTTAATTTATGAATACATCAGCTGACACTACTGTCTGGCAGATGATAGTAAATATTCCTCTAGATTGCTCGTTGTTTTGTTTGGCATTTTTACAGCCCAGCTGAGACTTTTAAAGTCTGCACTTTAAATGCCGTCAATAGATAAAGCAGTTGCCAGCCAATTTATACACGTTCAAATCATGTCTGTGTTACCATAGTTCTTTCAAACAGTTGGCACTGATTGGCTGTAAAAGTGTTACATGTACGTGTTTACAGGTGCTCCTGTTACTTGTGTGTGCATTCTGGCATGCTTTTGCCTCATTAACAATATTTAGCAGTGTGTAAGCTGAACATTCACAGATTCAAGATCATTATCATTATTATCATATGACACTGATACCCCCAGACTGCCTGGGGATTGTCCACACTCGGAGAGTGTTGACTGAGCCCGAAGTCTGAGCGCTGGAAAGACGATGGTGATGTTTGTGGAGAAAGTGCTGGGAGAGACAGCTGTTGCACAGCATGGCCCTCTCCTCTCCAAGTCTGGGGCCCCAGCTTTGCCCGAGTCCAAAGTTGAGGAGTATCTGGTCGATGTACCTGCAGTTAGCTGGGCTGACCACATGAAATAGCCGCGGTTTGTCAGAGGATAAGCAGGAGAGCCTATCGTCAGCCCAGCGTGCTGCTGCTACTGCGCCGGCCAGCTACGATGATGCGTCTCTTTATCCCTGTTTCGCCACTGGCCCTCTCCTCCACCAGTTTGTAGAGGGGGCCAAAAATTCATCTTCCCATGTTCCTAGAATTTGTTTGTAAGCTAACTGTATCATGGAGCAAACCGCCGTCCAACCATATCACTGTGCCTGCCTATTGACAGTACATGGAGCTGGGAAGCATGGAGTACATGGATGACACCAACGAGGCTGGCTTAGCTAACACACCTGGTATGGAGCCATCCCTGGCTGCTTATCTGGCACCGTCCCACAACCATGGTGTTGGTGGCCCCACAACTCTGCCGTACAAGCAGTGCAGATTCTCCACGTTGCAGCTGGACAGTTTCAACTGGAATGCAGGCGGCGTTTCCAAATGACATAATGGTTGTTGGGCATGATGGCATCTCTGATCGCCGTAGTGTCACTTGGACTGTTATAGATGAGTGTTTCAATGGTGGACTCTCTCACCACCTGTGTGCATCGTGTCACCTGACAATGACACGAATCTTGCATGCTAGCTGTCTGTCCCTGGAGGGAGCCCAGACTGTGCCAGGGCTCTCAGATTGGGAGGGTGTTGTTTCACAAGGTGGTATCCACAGATGGGGATGGGGAGGTCTGTGCGATGACGCATCAGTGAGAGGTGTCGGGACCACAGAGCAGCCTGAGCTGCACATGAATCACTTAGAGCTGCTAGCAGTGTTCTTAGCTCTCAGGCATTTTTGTTCTGAGGGTCCAGCATGTCCTAGTGATGACAGACAATTTAACAGTGGTCTCTTACATAAACAGGCAGGGAGGGATACGCTCTCTTCCCCTGTTAAAGATGTCTCGCTCTCTGCTTCTATGGTGCAGTGTTCATTTTCTGTCTCTAAGAGCCACCCATGTTCCGGGCCACCTGAACCTGGGGCCAGACCTTCCCTCCAGGGGGTGTCCCCTGGTGAGGGATTGGAGGTTGCACCCTTTCACAGTGGCCCAGATTTGGGATCTATTTGGCAAGACGAAATTACACCTTTGTGCCTCCTGGTATAACACAAGGCTGCCCTGTTACGCAGCTTGGCTCGGTGAAGAGTGGCTATCGAAGTCTGGGTCATTGTGATTACAGGGAGTGAGTGCAGGCGGGGCCAAAACCATGTCATTACAGGTCGTCTTTAGGGTTTGAATAGAGGTTTCTTCAGCCAGGACACGGGGGCGTGATATGTACCTCGTTCCTATCCTTCAGATAACAGAACTAATAGACATGACTGTTTGTTTGGATCTACTCTGTTAATTCAAATAATTGCTTCCCAGCTGATCCACAGCCAATGATAGTGTCCTAACTCTGTTTTTCCACCTTTTTTTTTTTTCATAGGATGAAGAGGAGGAAATTAAGTTGGAAATCAACATGCTGAAGAAGTACTCCCATCACAGAAACATAGCCACCTACTACGGAGCCTTCATCAAGAAAAGTCCACCAGGCCATGATGACCAGCTCTGGGTGAGTCTAACATCCCATTTCTATAACGAGCACAGTATTACACACATTACAGGTTCAATTTAAACTTATATATATATAAATAACTTAATGAACCGAATCTTGAAGAATCCTAATTTAGAACATTTGTGGAGTTATTGAGCAAAGGGACGGAGTAGGATTAAATTCATATTCAAGCAGGAACTGTAAGATCACGTAACAAGATTTGATTTTGCATACATTCAGTGTGTTATCATCACACGTTAGAAGGTATTTTGAGACCGTAATGAAAAGATTTGCCAGGCTAAAAAAAGACAAACTAAACAATATTAGGGATTCCTGTATAACAGCCAAAGTGTACACTGTTATTTTTAGAAAGTTGATTGATTGTGTGATGACAGATAAGAGAGATATTACATACCATGAAGTCAGAAAGCTCTCCAGCTGATATGGAGTTGAAGTTGCTTTATGCATTTTCCTCAATACAGCCAATATGCAGTTCTTCATATTTGAAGAGCAGTAAAAGAAATGACAGCAACACAAAAAAACAAAACAGATTTCTAGAAAAGAGCAACAAGACTGTGGAATTAAATAAATGGTGCATAAGTGAGAAACAAAAGGAAGAGAGTCAATCAGAGAAGGGAGAGGTGGGGAGGATCAGGAAGTAGAGAACAGCAGCAGGAAAAATTTACAGCTGGTGGTTTGTCCGAGGCAGGATTACCTCGTTTTATGACCCGGAGGCTCTGCTGTTCCTGGGGAGGAGGAGGAGGGATCTCACTCTCACTTCACAACACAGTCCCGTATTTGTTTTTACAGCTGCTTCCACCGCCCCGTTTACAGCCTCCACTGTTGTGGATTCATGCTGTCTGCCGTGCGTGGGGGTGACATACAGAGTGTGTGTCTGTTTTATGATATTCATGTTCTGTGCTGACACCACTTAAGACTACTGTCTCAAGAAGATCACTTTATGTGTTTATGAGGCATATATCCTTTAGTAAGCGAGTAAGAGACACGGTATCAGAGGCTTAGTGACCATTAGAGAGCCAGTCTTGACATATTTGTTTGAGGATTTTTTATGTTTGTCACATATGCAGTACTAAAAATGAATCGGATCAGTCCCCCAGGTCGCAGCATGACAGCTGCCACCCGTTGAGGTGCACAGAAAATGCTTTCCAACTTTAAATTTATTGTAAAACAGTGACGAGGGCAACCCATGAGATTCAACAGATGCACTTCTGTATTTGTATTGTCTCCAGCTTCCTACACTTGTGGTTTTGCTAATGCTTTTCTCTTTTGCATTAAAACCACATTTCCTAATAGCCGTTGGCTTCCTGTCTCAATCACGGCACAGGGTAAACTAGTAGAAGTGATTGCATTTTTTCCTTCCGCATTCCCTTTTATTCTTTCTGCCGTCTCTTGTTACAATATACTCTGAAGTGCTGCACAGCACTCCAGATGATTTGCATTCACATGAGGCGTGGTGGCTCACAGGAAAATGCAAAGTTAACTGGGACCACTGAGTTTCTCAATAACTGCTCTGTTTGCTCAAGGTAGCTCTAATACGATGAAATAAGCTACCTTATTTATTCCCAAATTTGGGGAATTCCTATATTACACAGGAATTTCCCATTAAACTCAACAAGCTGCAAATCTTAAAATAAACTAGGATGGATTATTAAAATAAAATACAACATGATAAGATTGTCAGAGCCCAGTAAGCTAGAATAGCTCAATAATGAAAAATTAGACAAAATCAAAGGTGTGCAATCAAACACATTAAAGTGAAATAAAATAAAGAAGATCATTAAGTAATAAATGTAAATAAACACAATAAAGCACATTTGAAATCTTAATATTGCATTACAGCAATATACAACTAATATCTTATAGGTGTATCGATAGTAAAACGCTGCATGGCGTCTTACGCTGATGGTAGAATGATGGTGAGCGTTTGTGTGTGTGTGTTACAAATGCATCTCTTTCTCACCTCCAGCTGGTGATGGAGTTCTGTGGTGCCGGCTCCATCACAGATCTGGTGAAGAACACCAAGGGCAACTCGCTGAAGGAAGACTGGATCGCCTACATCTCCCGAGAGATCCTCAGGGTCAGTTATTTCTCACAGTCTGCTGCCAACATCTTCACTAGATTATATTATTTGTGTCCGAAACGTTGCTAAAAGTATGATTTTAAATAATTTAACTTTTGCATTTAAACAAAACAAACACTTGTTTGACCGTCTGATACAGCCCATGTTCCTAATAAGTTGTTTTAATTTATATTTTATCCCACCAGGGATTAGCTCACCTGCATGCTCATCATGTCATTCACCGCGACATCAAAGGACAAAACGTGCTGCTGACTGAAAACGCTGAAGTCAAGCTGGGTGAGTCAGTTGGCTTTAGACCGGGCCTGTAGACGGGAAGTGCTCCCGCGCTGTGGTTTTGGACCGGTGCATGGAAAAGCGATTGCACCAGCAGATCTGAGTCAGCACTGTGGCGATGCCAACTGGAGCTTTCTCATTGCCAGTGTTTTGTTTTCGAATGTTTCACATGATCGCACAGCTGCAGGCCTGTGTAGTCAAATCCTTATGAAACATAAGATCTATATACAGCTCCAAAATTTGTCTTTATTTAGATTTCTTCTGATTACAGTGTCACAATAATTTCTCGCAACAAAACTACCTAGACGTTTGATTTCACTTATGATATGTGCACAAAAAGACAGAAGAATCTGTTCTGAGTTTTGGAGATTTAATGTCCAGTTGTGCTGATCTGTAAATCAGCCTCCACAGTGTTTTTAACTTCCAAAGAAAAGTTTTAACTTCTGTATAAAAATCGCGTATTTTTCACCAAACCTTTGTGTGAAACCACCGATCAATGTTGTTTTTATTCCCTTTAATTATCCACAATTCAGTTGCAACTTGTAATCACGCCATCCTGTGTTACCTAGCTTAATAATGTCCCGTGACACAGCATTAAACAAAGTGTCTCCACCGTGGTTAAAATACAGCATCTTGACCTTTTACACTCTGAGGCAGACTCAAGTTAACTTGAGGGGCCCCTCTCACAGTTGTAGTTTGCCTTGGTGCAGGATCTGAACGGTTTTAGTCTGTTTTCTTCATTTGAATGCTTCGTGTTTCTTTCAGTGGACTTTGGTGTGAGCGCTCAGCTGGACCGGACTGTAGGTCGAAGAAACACCTTCATCGGGACGCCATACTGGATGGCTCCAGAGGTCATCGCGTGTGACGAAAACCCTGATGCTACCTACGATTACAGGGTGAGCATGCAAAACTGCATCTGGTCGCAGATGTTAGTGGGATTCATGGTGCAGAATGAGTTTGGAACCAGTCAAATAGGAGCATCATCCATGTGATAGAAAAGATTATAGTTTTAATCATTAATATGACCAATGAGAAGACTGCTCTGTCATTTCCATCACATGTGTTACTCAGAGAAGCACACAGACTAACTAATCGTATCTCTTTGTGTTTCAGAGTGATCTGTGGTCCTGTGGAATCACAGCCATTGAAATGGCTGAGGGAGCTCCTCGTAAGTACAATACCTGATCGTACCACAATACCTGATTTCAATGATATCATGAGTAGAAACTGGTACTTTTACTCTAAACAAATTTACTGGTGTATTTCTGTTTCAAACCTGCATGATCAGAAGAGAACTCTGTTTACTCTGTTAACTGTAGCTTCACTATAGACTTACATTTTCTATTTATACCTCTTATTTTTATGCAGGCAATACAGATGCAACCCCCCCCCCCCCCAAATCATCTTAAATGTATGACTTTGACATTTATATTAGTTTTTTTTCTGATCTCTCATTTGGTTTCTCTTCTGTTGTTTCCTTTAGCTCTGTGTGACATGCATCCAATGAGAGCCCTCTTCCTCATTCCCAGAAACCCACCTCCTCGACTCAAGTCCAAAAAGTGGTGAGATGTTTTCCATCTTTTATTCTTGATATCAGTAAACCATGCCGATCCGAACTCTGTACATGACGTCTAACTGCCATCATAGGTCAAAGAAGTTCTTCAGCTTCATTGAGAGTTGCCTTGTGAAGAATTACACCCAGCGCCCTCCCACTGAGCAGCTGCTGAAACACCCCTTCATTCGGGACCAGCCCAATGAGAGGCAGGTCCGCATCCAGCTCAAAGACCACATCGACCGAACCAAGAAGAAGAGGGGCGAGAAAGGTGAGTCCAGGACGAAGCTCTGTCAGTGTTAATGTGCAAAAATGAACTTATGGATAAAAATCAGAAGCTACTCCCTCAAAAGGGCATATTTTGTGTCTTTAAAAAAAATATACATATATTATGATGAAGGTTTAATGAGGAGTCTAATTTTTAGACATTTTATTTTTGTTAACTATCTGCAGATGAGACAGAGTATGAATACAGTGGCAGTGAAGAAGAGGAGGAAGAGTCATCTGAGCAAGAAGGAGAGCCAAGGTATCGATCCATCTAACAATACATAGTTACAGTACATAGTTTTAGCTTTTTACTATAAGCTAAACATCATAAAGTGAATTCTGACCATGTTTTTGAAGTCATCTTAGTGATTCCTTTATATTTAGACACATACATATGCACGCTACAGCCTCAGTACTTGTGTAGCACAAGGTCAGATGATTACACCCTTGATATGAAAAGTATTTTATGATGTCATACGGGTCAGTTTCTACATCCTTCTCATCGGGTCATCTGTACAGTTCCATAGTCAACGTGCCGGGCGAGTCGACCCTGCGTCGTGACTTCATACGTCTGCAGCAGGAGAACAAGGAGCGTTCGGAGGCCCTTCGCCGCCAACAGCTCCTCCAGGAGCAGCAGCTCCGTGAGCAGGAGGAGTACAAGCGCCAGCTGCTGGCTGAGAGGCAGAAACGTATCGAGCAGCAGAAGGAGCAGCGGAGACGGCTGGAGGAGGTTGAAACCTCATAACAAATTAATAGGATTTCTATGTTAATCGAGTAGACACAGTGCTGTGGTAAGACTGTGTGTTTAGAAGAGGCGATAGACTGCTGTTTGACTGTTGTGTTCCTGTAATGTAATAATCCAGTGTAACTGGATCTAAAGTGGTGATATCACCAGAACAGAATCCAGCAGGACAACCTAACAAATCCTCATAGATGTTAAAATGCCCAGCTCAACAGCAGAAGTCAGTATATTTACTACCAAAATGTCTCCATAGCTAACTTGCCTGTTTGCGACCACTGCACAGGAGGTTCAGTTTAATGTGAGTCGTGTATTTGAGTGAGGCTTAAGGCTGAAAGTTCGGGCCTGACCACACTGTGTCACAGAGTCAGAAAAATGTTGGCAAAATCTGTGAGAAAAAAACGAAAAAGAAAATGAGGGATGTAAATTTGCCTAAACAAAAACCATATTTAAAATATGAGTTATTTATTATTAATTAAGCATTTACCCTGGAAGTTTCAATAGGACTAAAAATAACCCTGTTGCAGGGAAAGATTTGAATTATTTATGAAGTTTTGTACACAGAGAGGTTTTCCCATGAAAATGAATGGCATCACTGTTTTTACAAAACTGAAGGGTTTTCAGTAAATTTTGACGTTTTCTGAAGTTTTCTTAAGTGTTACCTTCTATATGTTTGTTTAAAATACTAAGAAACTCATGTGGCTCGTTGGATGCAGGGAAACTTAATATATTTATTATGCTAAATATATTATTATGACAGCTGGGATAGGCTCCAGCGCCCCCCGCGACCCTGAAAAGGATAAGCGGAAGCGAATGGATGGATGGATATTATTTAGATTATGGATGTATAACATGACTCTGGACTCTCAGGCCCAAGAAAAGGACATTTCTAACCTATTTGACTTCATCTGCTTCTCCAGTAAATCTTGATTTATTTTGACATCATAAAAAAATCAAAAGATCAGTCTTAGATCTTATCATGGCAACAATATCCAAAGTACTGCTCACATGTATACTACTTCTTCTTCTTCTTTTGACTACTCCCATTAGAGGACGCTACATCCTCAGCCACACAACCCTCTGCTTGTCCACCTTCACTACATCTGTAAACCACCTCTGTGGGTTTTTTCTCCTTTTCCTCCATTATCCTCTATCCTCCTCCTTCACATGCCCAGACCACCTCAGCCTTTCCTCTCTAACTTTGCCTCTAAACTTCTGAACCTGAGCTGATATTGTCACTTTCACTCATAATGCAAATCTTTACATCTTCAACTCTGCCACATTAAGCTTCACCTGCTGTATGTTTGTTAGTGCCACCACCTCCAAAACCATCCATCGTAGCAGATCCCACTTCTCTCTTGTAAATATTCCCTTTCACTCTATACTTGTCACACATCACCTCTGACACTTGTGGTTTATTATAAAAGTAATTTGACTTGTCAAAACAAGACTTTTGCAATCAGAACTGCTAACTGAGTGATCTTCTCAGCTTTGATTCGTGTCATTTTAAATTTGGAACTGACTGTTGGTCCTTCTTGGGCTTTGAATTATAAATTAAAAAACATAAAATTCAACAGATCTGAATCAGTAACACTTTGCTGTTTTTTCAAAGCGACAAATTCAGCAGAAAGTTAGAATGACTAAGTAGAAAAGTCCTTGTTCCTTTGATTTCAGCTCATCTTGTTTGGGCAGTGAACCCTGGGGGGTTAGCCAGTTTGTCTGCTGCAGTTAATATGTGTGTACATTATGTTGGTGAGATTAAAGTTGTTTTACTCGGGGGGATAGCAGTTAGATTTTGTACTTGATAATTTCATATAATGTTCCAAAATCAATTTTTGACTAGAGTGGGAAAAAAGTTAATTGGTTTCCCCAGAGAGTGAATTTGAACACCTTTGCTGTAATTGTCCTATTATCTCTTTAAGCTATAATCACTTTTCTGAACCTGGCTTCATCCTCTGTTCTTAAGAAGAGAGAGAAAAAAGTTCAGTAACACCGGAGAGGAGTAAAGGAAGTGCAGGGAGGAAAAAAGCTTCAAATAGATGATTATAAATTTGGACACGACTGAACTAAATTCTCTGGAGGAAAAAGAGAAGAGACAGCTCTAAATATTAAAAGAGGGACTGGGGAAACAACCCACCCCCACTCACCCAAAAAAAGCAAATTTAAACACGCTCAAAAATTCACTGAGCACATATAAATGCACTGCACAAGTGTAAGGCCTCTGTGGGAAGAGAGAGAACAAAGTTGTATTTCTGCTCGTGTTTTCCCACTGCACTTACAGCTCAAGGCTCCGTTTTTGATTCATGACGGTGCTTGTGGATGAATCAGACAGCGAGAAGCCACAGTTGAACGCTGGCCACGTCACTGAAATATCGGCGTACATGTGCTCTCCTGTTCTGATAGATCCCCACGTTTGGAAGCTTGAATGCTGAGCACAGAATCTGTGCAAACACGATGCGTCATCGTACGCAATCCGTGACCTGCAGTCCCGCAGCGTTCACCGCACCCTGTCACAACTCGCTCACAGACAGAAATCAGTGTAATTTCTTCATGTGTCTGCTTAGAGAGCCAAGCTTAAACAAAAACACGCTGCCTGTCAGGCCTGAACTTTCACACTGATTAAGATATCCAGTGTTAATGCAGTCCTTGAAATGTTGACATGTTATCGTCTTTTTACTTGTCTGTCCAGCTCATACACCTCCGTAGTATTTATGTTTTCTCTGCGCACATCAATAAGACATTTTTGCCACAACCTATACTGATGTCTATCTGTTCAAAAATACTTGCAAACTGAGTTTAAAAGGTCCCCAAAACCCCAAATAAAAAAACAAACAAAAACAACACAATTTGGATCGCTGTTAAAACGAACTCTGAGCCACACTGGTAGAGCTGTGTAAATCCTCGACAGCCGTGAATAAAATAATTAAAGAGATGACCTGCAACATAGTGCATTCCAAATTAATCTATAACTCATCCTGTTTTGACCCCTGCAGGGTTAAAATTCATCCTTGATGGCCTCTAAAAAGTTTCAGATTGCTCTTCTGTCAAATTCATGGTTTTATCTTTTTATATCTGTGTGATAGAGAGATCTTAACATAGCTGAACTCAGAAAATGATTGAAAATTGATTCTCTTGAGCCTCTTGATTGTTTTGCTTTGAAGGTGTAACTTCTATAAGCAGCCTTCACCATGTATCTCCTTGGTGTGATGAAGCAGAGACACGTCTGGAGTCCCATCACAGTGACACCGCAGACTTTACCTAAAACATGGAGATTATCCAGTAACTCATTGATTTGCCTTAGATTAAGCCAAATGATGCTGTAATGTTGGGCCTTTTAGCATAGGAGTGTTTGAGGTTGAGTGTGGCAAAGAACCACTTTCATACACTTTTAGAGCGGCTTCATTTTTCTGCCCCAGACGCTGCCACTCGAGTGGCACCAAAGGCAGTTATCGTTATGGAGGAAAATTCAGAGCAATAACCATGTGCGCTATACAGCAGTGTGCTGAATGTTTGAACAGGGTTTTAACCGTTTCGTGTGAGTCGCACACTTTGCGGTCTCACGTTGCTTCTCTTACCAATCCAGGTCAAATTAAAATATTAATATTGTGCCAGTCATGCAGATTCTAGTTCAGCACTGATTAGGAAACATGAGGTCAGTGTCTCGTATGACTTGACAAAAATCAGAACTAGGACGATGAGCAGTTTCTTTTTTCTTTTTTTAACTCCTCCAGCAACAACGACGTGAGCGCGAGATGAGGAGGCAGCAGGAGCGTGAGCAGCGCCGGCGCGAGCAGGAGGAGAAGAGGCGCATCGAAGAGATGGAACGACGCCGCAAAGAAGAGGAGGAGCGCAGGAGGGCCGAGGAGGAAAAGAGGAGGGCCGACCGCGAGCAGGTAGGAGGGAATCGACTGGGCAAGACACTGAAAGATTTGTTTTATCAACTTTAATTAGGATTTGGATTAATTTGGATGAGCTTTTACACCCACCTTTCTGATATTTAACTAATGGCTGTGGACTCTGACTGACAGGAGTATATACGTCGACAGCTGGAGGAGGAGCAGAGGCACCTGGAGATCCTGCAACAGCAGCTCCTCCATGAACAGGCCATGCTTCTGGTGAGTCACATTCAACTTCATTTTCCCCCTTTTATCATTTAAAAAAAAAATCTAAATGAGCTTAATGCTGTTTCTGCTTTCATGCCCCAAGTGATTTTAATGTTTCTGCAGCTCCCAGGTTATTAAATTTTCTAACGCAGGTACTTTATTCCTCCATTACATGAGTTTTCCTGAGTCCATTTGCCTTCTGTGCTAAACTTCATCAAGTTTTTAGAAATAACTTTTGACTTTAGTGAAGCCGAGGGGAGCCGTTAACGGTTGAGGTCAGAGTATAATGAGCGTTCTCAGATTTTGCCGGGGAAATCAGGATGTTTACGAGCCTCTCAGTGAAGGTGATGTCATCAGCAGGAAACTAGTCATCCCACGGAAAGAGAGGGCTTCCCCTCTTCCAGATGTTAAAGGGTCAGGGGAGGCGATACTGATACTCAAACCATGTTGTTATTTTCTTTTTCTTTTTAAAGGATTCTGTTCCTTTTGGGGTTTGGAGCGGATATTCACATAATAAAAGGATATGACCGTTAACATCCTCACTTCCAGTTTCAACCATTACTTAATCTCTGACCATGTGGTTCCTGCATAGTCACCATTCATAAACTCGTGCAAAAAACAAGCTGACTTCTATTTAAACTGTGAAACACATTACTTTGAGCTGTATTATAGGGATGAATGTTACATGTTTGAATTAACAACCTATAATTAGATGGAGCCTCTGGCAATGGGCACAACTGTCCCACTGCATAAAACTGTATTAATGCTTCACTGGTTTAATTGCTTTTCACCACAGCGGTCTAACAGGCGTGCAGTTGGACCTTTTTTCCCCCACCAGTATCCATCAGATGGTTTAGTTTTTTTGTTTGGTTTTGTTTTGTTTTCGTTTGTTTTTTAGTCTCCTCCCATTTAAATTCTCCACTAAAGCCTGACTTAGCCTGAAACTCAATGTTTTAACAGAGCACATTTTTGCACAGTCAAATCACACTGTGAGTTGAATTAGCAGTGTTTCAGTCATAAAGGGTGCATTTAACATTTTTAGGACCTGAGACACTCAGCCTTATAGAAACTAGAATATAAAGCTATGTGTGCCGTGTTTGTTAACAGCTGTGATGTCATTGCTCACAGTTACAGGATATATATTAGATATAAATATATCCTTATATATAAGGATAAATAATATGTAATAAAAGTAAGAAATTAGTTAAAAGCCTTGCAATATTATAATGCCATTACCACCAAGAGGCTTTCAAAACAAAGTGCTCTCTCCATCTCTGATGCTAGCTTCTACACAATAGTTTTCATACAGTCGTATTCCTACAGTCACTGCTGGCATGTGACTCCAAACTGATGGTTGGTGTAACTGTATGGGGTCATCTAAATGGATTCTTAATCCCTTAAAGTATCAAAAAGGACTTTTTTGGACATAGTAAGTGTCGACCAGCCTATGTGTGCTAGCGGTTTTGGTTCAACTTGACCCTCCCTGTACTCAGGAGTACAAATGGCGGGAGCTTGAGGAGCAGCGGCAAGCTCAGAAACTCCAGAGACAGCTGCAGCAGGAGCAGGCCTACCTGCTGTCGCTTCAGCAAAACCAGAACTTGGACAGTAGCAAAACAGCCCAGCAACAGACCCCCAAACCCCCACAGAACCCTGAACCTGACAGGGTAAAGCCTCTGCAAGCCCCTGAGCAGGAAACAACAAAACAACCACAGAACACTGACAGTGAGAAGACACGGCCCAGTCCAGCCTCCAGTCTGGAAAAAACTACAGAAAGCAGGCTACCAGTGGCTGACCTTCAAGGCCCCGCCCCTGACTCTGAGCCAGTCAGAGAGGTGAACCTCGTTAGCTGATCAGTCACAGTGACTGCTTTTAAAATGCTTCCTTTGCTTGTGTATACTCACTCCCGCTGTCTTTAGTGTATCGTGTGTAGATGGTGACGGTGAGCTGATGGTGTGGGGTGAATGGCTTTGTAGACGAGCTCTGTAGCTAGACTGTTTCTAAACTCACATGTCTAATAATTAAACAGGTCCATGACGCACATATATGCCTGTGTTACAGGACCAACAGCAGTTATTTTATCTATTTAGGTGAACTTAAGTATGAAGTTCTAATAAATTGAACTCAACTTGAGACCAATCTTTAAAGCAAGTGATGTTATAGATCTTTTCAAGCTGACTTTGGAGAAGCATCAGCTCCTCCAGAGACAGCTGTAGCAGGAACAGGGCTAACTGAGAGAGAAACAGAAACAAAAGGGAGAATAATGTTTAGGTCCAATATGGAGCATGAAACTGATGTGCTGCACGTAGAGTTTATAGTATTGCTAATTTCCAATACTTGTGAAATCCTCATAGGAAAAAAGTTGGGAAACTAAAGAAATTATTATACCAAATACCAACAAACTAATATCTAGATGCAGCATATTCATGTTCACTTCGAGGATTCCTTCAGACTTCCTGAAACATAGAATAAAAAATACAGCCTCTGAGTCTGAAAAGGGCTGCCAATGTTGAAGTGCCTTAAAGGTGCATTCTTTCTAATGGCCAACAGAGGTCAACTCCTCTGGTTGCAAGATAAGTAAGATTGTACAGAAGCCTGTGAGAAAATGAACCTACTTCTCCCTTTATGCATGAGCTCAGTAATCAGTTTTTTAGGGTCTCGATTGCCAAGTTCACATTTTATTAAATAAATCTTGATGCTTCCTTTGCAAATTATAGCCCCATTTCAAGTACAGCAGATGATAAATCAGGGTACAACATAAAATCCCTGGTTTCTCAGTCAGATCCACCCCCATGCTCCTATCATCTAGTTTCAAAAACACAAGACATCGATATTGAAAGTGACAATCTGGCCTTCAAAGCAGAAGCCCAAACGTTGGTGTCATGGTGGCTATGTCAGCGTTCTGTTTACAGTGTATGAGCAGATGTCATTTGAGCTTTTTCTCGTGAGTTTGCAGTGAAATGCTCACTTGAACAGCTCCTCCCTCTAAAGAAGGACACAACTGGTCTCTAATTATCCTCATGGTAGTCCTTGTCCCCACATTAATAAAAACGAGCCACCTCGTTAGTGCTCAGCGTGACTTACAGTCTCTTTCTTCTTTATGGCATTTGGTATCCTTTTTAGTGCCTATTGGGAAGGATAATGACAGAGACGCTCGCCAAATAAAAGCACATCATTGGCCAAAACAGCTCAGAAGCCCTAACACTGGTGGAACAAACAGGATAGTCATCTTTTGATAGTTCAGCCATCATATTTGTCGTAATGATAACACTGTAATGACAAAGTTTCTGATAAAGTGGCAACATGAAGAAGAAAAAAAACACAAATGGAAAAGATATCCAAATATCCATTTTGAAGAACAACCAAAACAACATTTCAAAATCTGACTTTCTATGGTGAACCGTGTCCTGGACCTCAGTGTGTGACCTAACCTTTCCTTTGTGAATGTCTTCTCTCCACATGAAAATGCATGACACTCTTGCTGGTCATGGAATTGCTGTCCTTCTCGTAGGGATGTGGGAACACTGCGGTGCCAATAACACTGCTGCCTTTGAGGAGGTGCTTTGTTGTCCCTGCTGGTGTGCCTGTATCAGCAGATAACTTTCTGATGTGCTTGAACTACTGCCAGAACAAATCACTTCTTCTCTGTTGGAAGAAACTAACAAACCATAGCGGCTGATGGCTTCTGTCTTTTCTCCTCTTCGTGTACTGACCTGTACCCACCTGTATTCTCAACTTGCTGCTAATGCTGCTGTTTGCACGTGTCCTTCTTAGGCTGACGAGCGATATCGGAAGAACGTCCAGGGTTCTCCCCAGGCGGCTCAGACCAAACCACAGCAGCCTCCGGTGCCGCCGCGATCTGAGTCTTCATACCCCAATGGGAACTCTGCTTCTGAGGCCATGCACCGGCCTGTGGAACCACAGGTAAGAGTGACTTCAAACCATTTCTTCTTCTCTTAAACTATTCTGCTTTTACATTTACAGCTGTGAGTTGGTGTCCACTGGATCACTGGACTAGGAACAGTCCACTGGTGATTTACATCTTAAAGGGTGTTGGAGCATATTGAGCAGTGGATGGGGTTATGAGATTATGAGAGAGAGATTCATGTATTTGACAGTTTCATATTGTTTGCATGACACAAGATCTGATTGTAATATCAACTTCCCTTTTTCTACATGGAAGTAGTAATAGTGGAGCTTGGTGGGGCTGAGCATGCCTGAGGACTTTATGGCTGCTAACCTGTCATTCAGTTATGTGAACAAGCCAAATTAGGGCGAGAGTTATTCGTTCCTGGGCCACAGCGTACCGGACGTGATCTGCAGTGGGCATGATAAGCAAAGTCATAGCGTAATGACTTATTCAGTTTTCCCCTCCTTCCTGCAGTCAGTTCACTGTCACTAAAATGAAACATTACTGTCATAAATCAAAGAGCCAAAGCTTAAACACCTTATGTCACTGTGGTATTGTAACCCATAGTTAACATCTTTGTCTGTAAGAAGGCTGTAAAATTAATAATGAATTAATAAGTTGAAATGCACCCTTTGGAGAGCTAGTTCTGACCCTCTGGCCATGTGTTCGACACCCCTGGTTAAGAGTATGCTGTCAGCCTTATATTGCCGAATTGCCTTGCCAACTTTGAGTGGATTTATGATGCTGAAATGTGTTATAGACCCTTGCATGTATGCTTTGAAAAGCTCATTTTTCACAAAATACTGGTTTATTCGAAAAGTCCATTTACCTTCTTAATAACCTGAACATTGCTTCAAGATGTTATCTGTGATTTTTTTTCCCCCTGATAATAATTCATTAGGTTTCTCCTTCAGGTGACTCGAGGAAAACTGAAATCTTTGCACTTTGGAAGATTTATTGTTTCTCAGTTTAGGAGTTGTTCTGCTTTTTTTCTCTGCCTTCATGGATTGTATCTTTAGCTTTGAGGTCGTTTCATCTGAATAATGTTTCCAACTGTGTGCTGCTGCTGAACTTCTCATGACTCTTTTCAGCCTCGGGCTTGTTATTACCTCAATTTCATTTCCCTCGTTTTAACCAGTTAAAATGTGGAACAGCATAAAACTCTTGACTGATTTGAAAAGAAATCTCCCCTTTTTCACCCAGCTTCCCTGTGGTAATGAAAATCAACCAAGTCCAACCTTCTGCCATAATTAACTCTTGGACTGACAAGTTGTCCTCCCAATATGTAAATGCAAACAAAAGCCCTTTCACCAGATGTGTGTTTACCACAAGGTGTGCAAATGTGTGTGTTTATGGGATTTGCCTGATGCTGTAATGGGGGGTTTGAACATCTCTGCTCTACATGCTGTAACTCCTTATTGTGTGTTGGTGATTAAAACATTCATAATTCATGGGCATCCAAATTTTGCAGGGTGACTCAGGCAGTATTAGTCATTTTCCCAGTGAAGGATTGAGCACACGAAGCATGAATAATCACAGTTCATATTAAGTCAATCTGTTTTGGATATGTCACACAGATTACATTATATAGAAATGATGCTGTTATTCAGTAGGATGGGGGTTGTGTTGGCCGCGGGTGTGACGATGTAATTCACTAGAGCGTTATTAACCCATAATGTTAAAAGTGGATTACTCTCATTAACAGAGAGCCTATAGAGTATTCACCACACAAAGGTCTCATATCATGATGCCTAAGAACCAACGTGAGGTATTTTTATTAGCTGCCTTCCTAAAGAAATCTCACTGCTGTCAAATATGGAAACAAAAACTAGTTAAGGTTAAGATGGTGATTATGAATAAGGTGAAAGGCAGGATGTGCAGTGCCCACTATCAAAGTCACATGTTTTCCTCCACTCCCAGCCATGAATGTGTGCATGCTGCGTGGACCGTTGTGGTTCTGTCGGCACGCTTGTTTGCATGTCAGCCTGTTTTTACTCCTTATTCATGCATCATCTCCAGATAATTTTTGAAGGTGATCTAAAAGGACCGTGCAGTATATCGAAAGGACTAAAATGTCCACAAAAAAAAAAGCTGACTAAAAGCCAAGCCAGTAAAAGCATGACTCAATATTTTTTTTCCTGGATCAATTCAGCTTAATCTCTCCATTCCCTGTGAATTATGTCTTCTTTTATATTTTGTGTCATTCCCTGATTTATCCAGGCTACCTTTTTTTTTAAGTTAAAAGCTTTTACAGTAAAATTTATGCTCTCCAAAAAAGAGGGTGGCCCAGGTGATAACAGGTATGACGTGCAGATATGTCTATTTCACGAGTGCTCCTTCTCCCCTCCTGTTGCACTCTTGGGTTCTTAAGGGGATTTGCAAAGATTTGAGTCTTTGCCTTTAAAATGTCTACAGCTCTTCTTTGATTTTACAGACAAGCTGTGTCAATTTCTAACTGAAATCAGCTTCTGTGACGTTAAAACGATCTAGTATTTCAGAGCAGTGGTTGTTAACATCGTGTTGGCTTCTGCCAAGTTGTCAGATCAACTCGCCACATCAGATATCTGACACCGTGTGTTATTATAAATCATAAATGCTCTGTGCACAAATGACCAAGACTGAAAATCCTTGCATCTGAGCTGAAAGAACATTTCCATCTAGAATCCGTGATTGAACTTAATGCCACTGGAAAAAGTGAATACTGTAGCAGCAAAAGGTTAAATATGTCATCTTCCATCTACTTTAAGAGCATTATAATAAATCTATAATGTAATTATATCCTCTCATTTACATCTTTACCAACTGAATGTGCAGAAGAGCTCTTCAGCTGAAGCCTGGCAGCAAATAGGAGCTAAATGACAGCTGCAGTGTATGGATGTGTCATTCTGTTAAGTCATCGCAGCTTTTCTTTGTTGTTTTTACTTTCTGCTCATTGCTGGATCCTTTCATGCTGTAAGATCCCTCTCACTGTTCCACATCTAATTATGAATCACCCAAAATAACCTTACAATAACCAGTAGGACCTGCATCGCCCTGATTTCCACATTTGAGAAGTCTAATGTTAGTGTTACTAACATTAGCTCAAATGTGACAAACCCCTTAAGATACCCTACAGTCCCTGAGCTTGTTCCTTGTCTGAATACCCTGCATGCAGACTGACCTGCGCTCCCCCATTGTGTTCTGTTTTGTGTCGTCCGCAAGGTTCGTTCTCATCTGGCTGCTTTAAAGAGCAGCAGCAGCGTGGCCTCATCAAACTCCACTGCCACTCCGCCTGTTGTGTCACGATCGCACTCCTTCACAGAGCCGCTTACCCCTAGCTTTGAAAATCTCCACCTTCAAAACAGCCACGAATCCCGCCATCACCTTCCATCATCATCATCACCACTATCATCCTCATCATCAACGCCTGCTCGCACTGACCCACACCCCCATCCTCAGCCTAGGCCCCATGAACCAGCCCCTTCAGCGGAGGTCCCACCGAGGGTAAGGACTAGAAGAAAGAAGCCCAGTGTGGTAGCATTAGTTGAATAAGACAGTCTTCTGTAATTATTTCCCACCATTTTTTTTATACAATATCAGAATTTAAACAGCTGTTATTTTTTTTCCTTGTATGGAGACCAAGAAACACGATATCCACTGTATGTGAGGAAATTGGATATTGCAGGGCATTTTAGTCCAATTTTTGCACGCAATATCTGACAAAAGAAGAAGTTACTGTGTGGTGAAATTTCTTGTTCATGCAAAAATAGCTGTTAGTTAAAATGCATCACAACATTCAATCCGTGACCTTTCTATAACTCGACTGTTGTTCCACTTATAGGACGAGTCGAGACAGTCTGCCTCATGCTGCGTTTTTCTTCCCTCACCACACTAATTTAGACTTTTGCTGCACCACCGCAAAAAAAACATAAAAATAACAAGATGAGGAATGTAAGCATAAGAAGACAGTCGTTTCCTAAGAGAATCCACCCTGTCAATGCAACACAATGGGAAAGCTTCAAGTAAACAATGGTGGACCTCACAAGCAGGTTCAGCCTTAAAATAGAGGAAAATGCTACTGAGAAAAGATTGACCAATCAGTAACATCAGTTCATACTGTTCCCATGTTGTCCCTAACTTAAACTCTTAAATAAATAAATGGCTGAAGGTTCTGTTGTGCATGGCTGTGTTGCTCTGCTCTGCGTTGGCTTCACTGAATTTACATGTGACTGATTTAGGGGAAAATGTGCCTCACATGCGTGACCTGTGACTACGATGAAGGCTTTAGTTGGCGTACGTACATTTATACATTTCAAGTTAGATACTGTAAGAACACAACAGGCAGTCACGTCAGAGATGCGCAGCTCATAAGCAGCAGAGATGCAGTACGCATAGATCCTGTGTTTTTGTTTCAGTCACGTCATCACCAACCTGAAATGTGAGCTTGTTGGTGCGTTGTTTAAACAAACCCAGCTGTTTAACTTAGTCTGATGTGAACACAGTTATTGTGTATTCTATTAGAAGGCAGTCTACTCCCCCTTACATTAAAGATAATAAGATTACTTATCCTGACAGTACCAGAACAACATTTAAGCTCGTTACAAGATTTGTACCAACTGTCTGGCTTCCAAAGCTGCTACTTTTTATTTTAACACTTTTGTTTTATGCTTGCTGAACTCATGAATACTAAAACACTTCAGTTACTCACACCTTCCCCCTGATAATTCTGATATCCTTCTAATATGTGACAATTATTACTTGTTGGATATTTTTTAAGCTTTGGGTGTAATTTTACTGCCAAGTCAGACTTTAATTTGACTGACTGGAGCTTTCATCTCTGGGCCTGAATTAATTACACACAATCTGTACTTTTATATCACTGAGTGAAAGGTATCTCTACAAAATCAGTAAAGGTTATGAATCTTTTAATAAGATTTATTCAATGCTTGCAGAATCTAACAGCTAGTAATTGTGAAAATGTAATTGACAATAATCGGTGCAGTAATTAAGCAAACAATCTGACGCTGGGCAACATCGAGGGATTCAAAACTAGAAGTTTTATACCATTTTATTGTTTCTATTTGGGAATCCAGTCTGACGATTAGTCCAGCCAAATAATATGTTTACCTTAGTCATCCTGACATGTTGTGGTATAGCTTACTAGTTCTGAAGTTTTCCAGTGGATTAAAATGGTGACACACTCATGTGACGGTGAAGTTTAAAAATATGTGATTTGCATATTCACGGCACATGGCAGCACATCCATGCCTAAAATGTGTGTATTTGTAAGCTGGTTACTGTTTTTATCATGAAAAGGTTCCTGTCAGGACTACATCAAGGTCCCCAGTGTTGCCGAGGCGAGATTCGCCTCATCACCTTGGCAACGCCGTACACAGCAGCCACGCAGCACAACACAATGCTGCCAGGTAAACTTTCGTAACCTGTGTTGTGTGAATGTGTTTCCTTTCTTTGCTTTACTACTGCATTCTTCTTCTTGCAGTCTTTGTTTTTTTTTTTTCATTTCCAAAATTTGGAAACGTGCCCTTTAAACGATATGGCTGACATTCTAGATATGTGATATTTAGAAAAGAAAAGCCAAGCTTGCTATTTTTTAAAAAGCATCTGTATGACACGTGAGTCTTCTTTGAAATAACAAAAATATAATTCGTTAAACGACAGGAACTGGGCCCAGAATAGTACCCTGTGGCACTCCACCAGTGTCTTAAGCAGGAGACTGGATTCAACGTGCTTCAGAGCACGTTGAATCCAGTCTCCTGTTTTCAACTCTGCAATTACAAAGACATCCCGAAAGAAAAGACTTTCACAAAGGCTGTGCAAAAACACTTCATTTAGTGATGGATCTGACAAATTAATTCAGCGTCTTCACTGTCTGTGCTGTTGCAGTCCCAGTCTGCGGAGTTGTGTGGGAGGCTTTATGTAATAGTTCTAGCTGTCTAACCTTGTTGTCTCTACTTCTATAGTTGTGTGTAAATGTGTCTCTCTCTTTATTTCCAAACCACAAACCTTCTCATGGAGTGCCATCTCTCTTCCTTCCTCTTTACCCTGCAGTGCTGTTTTTAATATCTAAAACTCTTGGCTTTCTGTAATTTCAAGTGTTTAGCGTTTTTACACTGCTCATTAAGAACTTTAACTGTAATCCAATAACATGTCAGTAATAATTAGCGAATTTAAGAAGTTAAATTAGCTGTGCTCTATTTATAACATTTTAATTTGCTGTTTAAAAGTTTCTGTATCTATGATAGTTTACCTGACTCTCTTGACTCTGTTGCCTCTGCAGTGCAGCGGAGCCTCGGCTGCTGTGGGAACGAGTGGAGAAACTGGTTCCCAGAACGACCAGTAATACTGGCAGCGGAGGCTCCAGTTCCTCTAGCAGCTCCAGTAACTCCAGCTCTCAGCCCGGTTCTCACTGTGGCTCAGGAGAGAGGTTCAGGGCCCGCTGTGAGTTCACACATACATTAACCAAGTCAGCAATTAGAAACATGCAGGAGGTGGACAATATAACTAAAAAATCACCTCAAACATAGCTGTGCTAAAGTGTGTAATAACATGTAGGTGAAATCACTAACAACATTAGTTAAACGTGTAGATTTTATTCCAACATTTTCCGACATGCTGACCTTATCACCTCCACCTCCTTTAGCCTCTTCTAAATCTGAGGGTTCACCCCTCCAGCGGCCAGAGAATGCTGGGAAAAAACCAGAGGAGAGGAGGGACGTGCTCAGGCCGAACAGATCAGCGGTGAGAGTGGACCCGGAGCTGACTAGCCAGTAGCTCACTAGGCGGGATGGGTTTAGTTAAACTCTGTGTGCGTGGTGACTGTTACGTGTTGCGTCCAGTTAGTTGCTGTTAGATAGATGGAGAGTGTGATTATTAACAAATTGTGACAGGGATCTTGCTGCTTGAGTCTTTTTTGTGTGTGGGTATATGAATGAAAATAAACGGACTGGTCTGCTCAGGCTAAGAAGTGCTTGTTTTATCTTTGGATTGAGTTTATTGGCTGAAGGGGTCTACTGCACGTATTATTCACATTCTCTTCTCAGCGGTCTCTTCCTCAGCGGTGGTCTTTTTAACTCATGGCTTCTCTTAACTTAATAAATTAACTATTTTTTCTGAGCTGGTTTAATTTTTCATCTTTGCAGCTCTAACAACTGTTTCATTATTAGAATTAATCCACTAACCTTACCTACTGTAGCTTGAGGAGCACCAGCTGTACTGCTCTGGAGTCATCTCTTTTTTCTCTTTTCTCTTTTGGCTTTGCTCTTCCGTTGGTTTCTCATTGGCTGGCGCACATCTATAACCATTCTTCTTCTCCAGCAGCTTTCTCTTTCCTGCGTTTGTTAAGCAAGATTAACAGCAAATCTTACGTAGTGCCCCTTGCTATTTGCATGTAATATGCAGTGATGAAGAACGGACAATACATCAGCAGAGGAAGAATGACTGAACACATTAAAACACGGTTCACTTTTTATGTCTCGGCTTCTAGGACCTGACGGCTCTGGCCAAAGAACTGCGTGCCGTGGATGATGTTCGCCCCCCAAATAAGGTGACAGATTACCCTTCATCCTCCAGTGAAGACTCGGACACCACTGACGAAGATGACGATGAAGAGGTGGATCAGGAGGCAGGTGAAGAGTCGACCTCTGGCCCGGAGGACTCCAGAGCTGTGTATGTACACAACGTTCCTGCAGGCTTTACACTTTCAGAGCAGAATTCATCGGTTCGGGTTAATGGACGAGTTTATGCTCCTGCTTAGCAGAGATGCATTTTGATTTATCTGAAAGCCTTTTTAGGCAAGTTAAACCAGACTGCAGTCGTCTTGGTAATGCCTGCAGGCTGACAGGACCAGCCCTGTCTAAATAAGGAGGAGCCTTGTGTGCATAAAACAAAGCAGAAAGTCTGCAGTCACCAGTCAAATCACATTTTATTTTCTTTAATCAAATGCTGTACTACTATTAAACATTTAAGCTTTAAGTCCAGATACTATCTAAAGCACAAGTACACACTGGAGTAGTTGCACACTCTTAATATCATATCCTCTACAAAGAAAACAACAAATGTATTGATAAGAAGATCACCTCAGTTTTAACTATATGTATTTAATTTGTGTGATATACTGGGATATTTATAATTGGAGCTATTTTTTTATATTCTGTTACATTTTGTAATATACTGGATTATTTCATTTCATTTAGTTATTGTTCTTACTGTTCTGGAGCAACTGTAACCACATAATTTCCTCTGGGATTAATAAAGTATTCTGATTCTGATTCCCGAGATAATCAACATGCACTTGCCACAGGACTTAAACTAATGTCACACTTAGTCATATTATGGGTGTAGACAGCACATTCACCTACACCTGTATTACAGCGAGATGTAGAAAGCCTCCTAGAGCACAGTAGAGACTGCTTTGAGCCTATGTGCAGAGGACATTTGGCTAATTTGTTGTCAGGCAAGCTGTTTGTTGGCTCGTTGGGTAAAGTCCGGGGCAACCATCACCTTCGGCTCTGCAGAGTACCTTTGAGTGCCGTGTCTGTCTTTTACAAAGCTGCTTTTTCTCATGGCTTGCACGGGTGTGTAAAACCATATTGGAGCCCAAACATGATGTGTTTGTGTTGAACTTCTCCTCCCCTCACCTGCAGTTCTTCTCGGCTGAGTAACGGAGAAACGGAGTCTGTGAAAACCATGATCGTCCACGAAGAGGGCGAGAGTGACGCGGGCACAACGCCATGCAAAGACAGCACGCTGATTGTCAGACAGGTACTGGGAGATCGGAAAAAGAACAACCAATCGTTCACCTCGTACTTTTTAGCTTTCCCTTTATTTGTACATTTTGTTTGTTCATACCCCGACCGTTTATCCATTTTGTTTGTATGTTTCGTTGGTCATGTTCTTACTTTTTGGCCAGTGGATAGCAACTCAGTGTTAAGAAATGAAGCATAAAAGGCTGACAGAGTTTAATAATGCATACAGAGAAGTGTTGAACAATTTCAGACATTTAACTTTTAAAAAGCCATTTGATCAGGTGACAGAAAAAGAATCAGGTACGTAGGTCATCTTCACATACATTTAGGACCAATGCACACTACAAAAGGTCAGTTTAAGTAATTTTGGGGCATTACGAAAGTATTATCTTACCATGTAATCAACTGCTAACAAGAGTTTTCTTTCCGCCTGTAGAATAGCCGCTCTAGTATACCCTTTGTTCTAGCTAATACCTTCCCTTCCCCTGAACTCATCAGGAACACATCTAGACCCAAAGCTGTGTACCCCTCTTTCTACTTCCAGAGTGCAGGTGACAACAGAAAGCGTACGGGCCCTGGCCCAGGCCAAACGCAGACACCTGGCATGCATGCAGGCTTTGCCCCGAGCCCCGGCTCGGTGTCGCTCCAGGGCCTCGCTCACCACACCCCCAGCCCCCACCACCACCATCATCATCACCATCATCACCCCATACAGCATTCGGACAGGAATGGCTTTGCTGGTCGCATCCACCATCTCCCAGACTTGATCCAGCAGAGCCACCATTCCTCCCCCTCCTCCTCTGCATCCAACTCCCCTTCCTCTTCCAGCCTTGCCAGTCCCTCGTCCATGTCCCCACAGAGTCCCTTGGACAAGCTTGGCATCCTCACAGAGGTATGTCTTCAAGTCCCAACGCAGACACTGGCTTAGGGTATTCATTTCTTGCACAGGAGTGTCAAAGGGAGCGTTTATAATTATTGCCATCTATAACACTGTAACTCCCCAAAACAACTAAAATCATTCAAATAAATAAGATGAGTGCTCGTTTTTTGTTTGTTTGTTTTTTCAGTTTTTCAGATTTTGACACACCATCTCTCTACAGAGAGATGCTGGTGTTGGTGGAAGCTTGCATTTTTGTGAATATCTCCTTGATATATTTATTATCGCAATAGATCTGTTAGCTCAGTTTTTGGGGGTTGTCTTTTGTCTTAAAAGCATTCCTCAAAACATTTAAATCAATTTGTATGCCTTGATGTTGCCTATTTTCAGCAAACAAGCTATATTCTCACATTCTCCAGACAATAGATGGTAGCACAGATGGCAGCTAGGAGTGAAACCGCAAGTATGTTTTCCAAGGAAACACTTTTTAAACGGCATTTTTTTCCCTTTTGTGTTGTTATTGTTTTTTATTTGTTTTGTCAGCAGTATTCATATTTTTTTAGCCTTCATCATCCTTTTTGCCTGTTTCACTGTTTATAAGTTTACCTCCTGAATGACTGTCCACTGTATTTGCATGCAACACATACCAAAATCCTCAGTTTGCCTGGCTGTGTTTTCACTGTGTTAAGTGTTTCCATTTATCTTTGTCCGTAATATCTGCATATGTTTATGGTCTTTGAAAAACAACACTTAAACATTTACAAAACTCCTTCTTTGCAGAGCCAGTCTAGTAACAACATGCAGAAGCACAAGTCTTCTTCCTCCTTCACTCCGTTCATTGACCCACGACTTCTCCAGGTCTCTCCATCCACCGGCAGTGCCCTCAACAATGTCGGTAAGGTCACTTTGTCAACTTAGGTTAAATTAACACTTCCGTGAGAGACGACACGGGGATAAAGGTCACAATAAAGGTCTGCAGACTCCAAAGTCAAAGAATTATTTCTTAAGCCCACTGGGAAGAGCCTAACTAGATGTTTTACCGCAGGCATAAGACAAATCCAAAAAGCATTTCTGGTTGTTGAATCAAACTTTGAACAAACTATGAGGAAAAGTTGTCACTCTGGAAAAGCTCAAACACAATGACTTCAATTCTGACACAAGCCAACTTTTTACTCACAACTCAAAGTCACTGAATTGGAATAGAAGCTGCAGTTCTGAGGTTTGACTGTCGTTCAGGAGGGAACAGTCCTTCTGAGTACATCCAAAGAGAAATCCCAGAGTGCTTCCCTGACTGAGCTGCACCACTGATCTCATGCTCACACGTGGAGTTCAGGTGTCTCAAAATATGATAGCAAAAATTCCTTAGCTGTACAGATTGGGACTTGAGTCTGTGAGCTTTCAAACAGTTGACTCATATGATGACTGACGGCTGGTTTTCTTTACTTTTCTGACAGTTTACAAATGTTTGGGACATTTTAGTCATTCGGATGAATTTTGGTAAACTATTACTACAGTTATTAAACAACTGAATCAAGGTAATAATGAAAAAAATATAATAATAGTTTAGTGAAATTCATCCAAAACACTAAATATGAAAGAGGGACAGCTCATGTTGAGCAGTTTGGAGGCAAGGCTGAGCTGTTTGGAGATATGTAGAGGAGGGAGAGTGGATATATCGGAGAAATGATGCATCTGCCAGCAGGAGAGAAAAATCAGAGAGAAAGATGTAGTGAAGAACATGCAGAAGGTTGGTGTGACAGAGGATGATGAAAGGGACAGGGTGAGATGATGAGCAGATGATCTGCTTTAATGACCCTTAATGAGAGCAACTGGAAGAAGGACTGAAAGAGGATAAAAAAAACTACTAATGAGGAGCTTTGCGAAATCGACTTTGCCTAGAGGTGAGGTCTTTGAGGCAGTAGGTGTGTGATTGACCATAATCAACTATAATCAACACTAAAGAGATTAATACATGGAGATCGGCTTCAGAAATTAAGGCTTGGTTTAAAATAATATAACTGAGTTATTGTAGTTTACAATAAACATTTTCAAGTGCTGGTTTTTCCCTGGATGCTGAATAAGCATTTGGCCAGGTGAGCGGTAGTATGAACATATAAATGGCTGCAATGGGAATTAATTAATATTTATATCTTCTTGATGACTGGGTCTCAGACTTTTTCTCATATTTCCTCCTCCAAAAGTCATAAAAGAGGTTCATATTGTCCAACACACTTCTTTCAGTAATCATAAGTGAAACAAACAGATCTTACTTGAATTTTAGTGTGCTAAAAATCATTGTTAGGAAGCTTTTGGTTGTTTATCTTTGTTGATTTAATTGATGATTATCATTCATCATTATTAACAACCAAGTTCGACACAACTTTCTTCCCCAAGCCACCTCCAGTGATGGCTCTCTGAAAACCGTTCCTCTAGGTTAAACCCACCGCTTCAGTTTTGACTTCGTCTGACTAGCTGCCAGTGTCCACAGCTGCAAACTTGCACTCAGATACACAGAAGCTCTGACAAACACAGCTTCTTCTTTTCAAGGAGTAAAGAGGCTGAGCACGTGAAAATGTCATTATCATTAACAAACAAAAAGCGTTGGACTCTGTTTCACTCAGGTCATAGAGTTCATTAGCTATCGCCATTAACAAACAAAGCTTTCTTATCACTACAGCCCTGTTCTCTCATCGTCAAGGCCAAATCTTAAGCCATTACCTCACCTGATGCAGCTGGTGGCCAGCCATTGACCCCCTTAAGTATACTAGATTGTTCAGTCAGCATTTAATCACTGATTTGAGGCAGTTAGGTTTTCCTACAGATGCCTGAATCTAGAACCAAATGCATGTAAGAGAGCCGGGTAATGAGTAATCCACAACAGACACCATAAAAACTCACATCAGCTCCCTTTTTTACTGGTTTGAGCGGAGCAGTAGTGGGAATCATTACATTGATATTTATATTTCTGTATCCCATTCAAAACTTTCATACTTACAACATGACCAATTATTCACAGTAATATAAAATGTACATCAATCACACAATATTGATATTCCATTGTTAAATATCACAGTTCACTACACAGCTTTCTAATGCTGATCATGTGACTGACCCTCACCCCGTCCGGTAAACTCTACAATCCTACGCCATCCTACCTAAGCCCTTCCCTTTGACCTTTTAGGCTATGGGAACGATGCCCGGCTGGCAGAGGCACTGAGAGCAGATCCATCCCGGAAGGGCTCCGTGGTCAACGTCAATCCGGTCAACACCCGCCCTCAGAGTGACACCCCAGAGATCCGCAAATACAAGAAGAGGTTCAACTCTGAGATTCTTTGCGCTGCCCTCTGGGGTAAGAACAAAAAGATAGGGCTTAAAAGAAAGGATACTTTAAAATAATTACCCATCAGTTGATCAGACTATGATGTCACTTTGAATAACAGGGTGGGGGTGGGGGGATAATGGGTTCTTAAAGAAAATGCTACTTATTTAATAAGGATTTTTTTGATGTAAGTTATTATTAAAGGTAAATTTGTTGTGCCAATGTTTAAGTATTTGTATTAACATTCATCAAAGTCCAGCTTTTTACCAGAAGTTGTAGCTATAAAGGCCTTCACCACATGGTGGCAGCAAAGCTCTAATAAGGCCACATACTAGCGCCGTCAGGCCAGGCAGCAGACCTCCAGTTGAGCTCAGTGGCTTTTTTTGGACGTTATCCTTATGGGCATGTTTGTGCATTTGTGTGTAGGAGTGAACTTACTGGTGGGAACAGAAAGCGGCCTGATGCTGTTGGATCGCAGTGGTCAGGGGAAAGTTTACCCTCTGATTAACCGCCGACGCTTCCAGCAGATGGACGTCCTGGAAGGACTCAATGTCTTGGTCACTATATCAGGTACACAGACAGGCACACTTTAAGCATCCTGATTAGTGCAACTAGAATTAGGAACCGATGAGAGATGGACTGAAACCAACGTCTAACATTGTGCAGTATAAAGCACAAACTTGCACACAGAGTTACCTTGAAAGTACAGTGCTCGACAAACACCTTGAGCCACCCCTCATTATATTTTGCTAGGAAAATTGGAATTAGGTGTAATGATAAAAGATGTGAAAACAAAGTATATACGTTTTCAAGTAGCCTCAGAAATTAGTATTTAATCTGACCACCTATTAGAATTGAATAGAATAGAATTCAACTTGATTGTCATTGGACATGTCACAAGTACAGGCAACGAAATGCAGTTTGCATCCATCCAGAAGTGCTTTGGCCATGATATAGATATATTACAAATATATATTAGCAATAATATAGATATGTGAGTATATTACAGAAATGGGTCTGTTATAGGTATGAGGGTACAAAATATGGGTCTATTATGGTATGTTATAATGTACACATAATAATGTAATGTAAAAAATAATGTATAACTATAAGTATGTACAGGCTGTAGTGGTGTACAAGCTATGTACAAGCTATGAACAGGATATAAATATGAAAGCTATACAGAAATATGAACTATGCAAGTTATAAACAGTTGTAGAATTAAAATTATCGTATGTACAGAATGATTATTTATACAGAACTATACAGTAGTGCAGGTAAGATAAGTGAGATATGTGGATAATTTCTACAGAGGCTATATAAAGTGCTAGTGGTTGTGAGTGGTGGTTCAGTCCATGTTATTATTGTGTGTTTGAGGGTACAGTTGTCCATTGTGGGTGTGTGTGTGGTTGGGGTGTGTATGTTCAGTCCATGAGTTTAACGTGGGTCAGATGTCAGGAGGCAGAGTTCAGGAGTCTGACAGCTGTGGGGAAGAAGCTGTTCCGGTACCTGGTGGTCTTAGTCCGGAGGCTCCTGTAGCGCCTCCCAGAGGGCAGGAGGGTGAAGAGTCCATGTGATGGGTGACTGGGGTCTTTGATGATTTTCCCAGCCCTTTTCAGACACCGCTTCCTGTAGATGTCTTTTATGGCAGGAAGTGGTGCTCCGGCGATGCGCTGGGCAGTTTTCACGACCCTCTGCAACGCCTTCCGGTCCGAGGCAGAGCAGTTCCCGTACCAGACTGTTATACAGTTGGTCAGGATGCTCTCGATGGTGCAGCGATAGAAGTTCACCAGGATGTCTGAGGACAGGTGGTTCTTCCTCAGAGTCCTCAAGAAGAAGAGGCGCTGGTGAGCCTTCTTGACCAGCTTGGAGCAGTTGGTCGTCCAGGTGAGATCCTCGGAGATGTGGACTCCCAGGAACTTGAAGCTGCTCACACGCTCCACAGCCGTCCCCTTAATGTAGATGGGTGTGTCAGCATTCCTCCTGTAGTCCAATGAGCTCCTTGGTCTTCTCGGTGTTAAGCAGCAGGTTGTTCGTGTCGCACCACTCAGCCAGACGATCCACCTCCTCCCTGTAGGCGGCCTATTATTCTTCAACATAGTCTGAACTCTTCTCCAGGCTTCTTGAAGGACATTCAAAGCTCTTCTTTGGCTGCCTCTCTCTCTCAAGTTGATACCACACTGCTTTAATGATGTTGACGTGCTATGACTGATAGTGTTTCATTGTGTTTTTTTGTCCAGCTATGCTTTTATTGCATTGGCAGTGTGCTAAAAAGTGAAGTCACTGCATATAATGTTTAACATATTGCATTGTGGTTGAAAATCTGGTGGTATTTTCATTTTTACCTCAACTCTTCTGTATGTACGATGATGATTTGGACCAAAATTTTCAAATTTAGATTTATCTCTCCATCAGACCTGTTTCCACTGATTTTCAGTCCAGTTCTTGTATAATTTGTCCTTAAGAGTGGCTTCTTGACAGCCACACTTCCACTGAGACCGCTGGTGAGGCTTCATTGTAGAATAGATGGATCAGCTGGAGGTCCAGATACATCTTTCAGGTCCTGTGTCAGGTTTTGCTGGCCTTTTTTCCTGTTTCTTTAAGACTTGACTTTCAGCTATTTGCAAATTCTTTTGTTGTCTACTTGTCAAGTTTTCAGGTAATCACTCTTAAGAATCACTTTGTAGATGAAAAAATATTTTCAACTTTATTGACTGACTAATGCGTTTCGAAACGCGTTGGTCAGTCAATAAAGTTGTTCCTCTTTCATATTAAGTGTTGCTGGAGTTCCTGCGTTGTGAGTTTTTCATCCCGTCCATGCACCTTGGAAGTAGGCGAAATTGTTCCAGAAATTTCTGCTGTCAAATATTTTATGCCAAACCATTTTATGTTGTTTCATTGTATTCATTTTTCCTGGATTCAGCTTCTAGTGACAAAAGATACTATTTAAAATTTAATCTTTGCAAAGCTGTCTTTTATGTTTAGACACAACACTGGCACATCCCAGGAGTTAATGCTTTTTTCATGCTTGAATGATTCACCGACCAGTGATAAGTAGCTCAACAAACAAACTCAGCAAAGCAGCAATTTCAAAATCCTACATTGTCTTGTTTCCAGGTAATTGCATTTACAAGATTTCCAGAGAACTTGACCTTTGACCTTGAGGTCAAGATCACTGAGATTCAAAGTCGTCTGAGAGTTTTAGCAGCTACACCTATGGTATACATTTGAAGCTCCTACATTGCCTTATCTTGAGTTATCGCCTTCACAGACTTGGGTGTCGTTGCTGCCTGCCTAGCGGGGTGATGACAATACCCAATCAGCCTTTTATGACTAAGGAGTAAAAGTGAAAAATTTGGCTGCTTGGAAGTAAAATATTTAAAAAATGAGGGGTGGCTCAAGACTTTTGCACAATACTTCAGTTTGTACATTATGTGGCCAAAAAATGTTCACTTTTCTGCTTGTTCAGCTTAGTCTGCTCAGTATCTGTTTGACCGTCTTTTTCTAATCTGCTTTCTACTTTCGCACATTGAAAGAGCACCCGCACTCGTACTTCTCCTTTCACAATTTCCCAAATGCACAAAAATGACACAACAGATAATCTGAGTGAAAAGGATATTGAGTAAAACTCTGTTAGCTGAAACCACGTCATGTATGTGCATGCTATGTAACAATGACACACAATTGAGATTTCCATGATGGACGGAAACGTTCTTCCATGTAACTGATTTGCAGTAGATTTCTAGGAGACAGTGTGACAGAGGAAAATTACCAAGATTTCAGCACTCATTACTCTGCAAAATGTTACTGGGTCTTCATAAATCCACTATTATAAACACATTCTGACTAAACTCATAACACAAACACTTACTAGTAAAAGCTCTTGAGTGATTACTCACAGCTTTAGCTGAAAAAGGGATGTGGATAATAATATCTTGGATAATATTCAAGTTAGGAGTATGAGATTGGAAGTGTGGATTGTAAAAGTTTCCACATCCCTATAAATAAAGGCACATTACAGAGCCGTGAAAAAGTACTGGCTCCCTTCCTGATTTGTTATTTTTTTGTATATTTGTCACACTTGCATGTTTCAGATCATCAAACAAATTTTAACGGTAGACAAAATGCAGGTTTTAAATGAAAATTTCATGTTCATTAATTCTCAATAAGGCAGATTGTCCGAATAATTCAGGGCTACTTCTGCTCTTCCTAAGATCTGGTAGAAAATCAGATCAACAACACGACATGCTGTCCTGCAAAAAGGAGAACGAGAACTAGCTCACAGAAATGTTTGGGTATTATTATATTATATATGATCTTTGTTAACTTTACCACAATATAAAACACTTTGCCATTGCTACGTGTCTGAAGCCAGAGATCAATTGTATTGTTCCACAATCAGATAATATGTAAGTTGAACTTTTTGGCAGGCGTGCAAAGCGCTGTGTTTGGAGGAAAAAAGGGAAAATCCACTGCAAAGCAAAGCCAAGGCCTCAGTCCAGACATGTTTGAAACTCTAAAACTCCACCATGCAGACATAAAAGACATGCATGTTCTTGTGTGCTCTGCAAGAATTTGGTCATAAATGAAGTGACACAGATGCAGGAGAAAGTTTTCTTAATATCACAGCTGTATTTTTATATAATCGAGGCAAAACAAAACAGGAGCACCAGAAAGACAAAAAACAAAGCACGAGTCCAGCACCAAAAAACAATGAAATGAAATACACCATAGCCAAGAAAATGGAGTCCAAAACAGAAGAGTTCAGGGGGCCGGCCAGGGGGCCGACAGCACAGGAGTCCAAACAGTTCAGGGGGCCGACCGTGCGGACGGCAACGGCGGCGACGTGGAAACAGTCCGGGAGGCCGACCGTAAGGAAGGCAACGGCGACGACGACAGCACTGGTCCAGGGGCCGGCTGCGAGGAAGGCCACGGCGGCGATGTGGAACCAGTTCAGGGGGCCGACCGTGTGGTCGGCAACGGCAGCGACCCAGGCGATGGAGGTCCGGAGGCCGGCCGCGCGGAAGGCAGCGGCGCCGAAGTGGACACAGTTCAGGGGGCCGACCGTGCGGAAGGCAACGGTGGTGAAGGGAGTCTGGGGGCCGCCCACGACGGCGATGGCGCCTGGCCAGTGGCCTAGAAAGTGGCCGTTTAGCTGCAGACCCAAACGAGGCTGGACCAGGCGACGCTGAAGGCGGAGACACTGAGGCTGGGCCAGGCGACGCTGAAGGCGGAGACACGGAGGCTGGGCCAGGCGAGGACGAAGACACGGAGGCTGGGCCAGGCGACGCTGAAGCAGAGGCTGCAGCCGGTGTGGATGATGAGGCTGAAGCTGGACCAGACGACGCTGACGGCTCTGAAGCTGGACCAGACGAGGCTGAAGGCGGCGGCGTGGAAGCCGGAGACGGAGGCGCTGCAGCCGGTGGCGTGGAAGCCGGAGATGGAGGCGCTGCAGCCGGTGGCGTGGAAGCCGGAGACGGAGGCGCTGCAGGCGGCGGCGTGGAAGCCGGAGCGCTGCAGACTGGACGGATCCCTTTGACCCTCCAGCGACGACAGGAGACGAAGGCCGGAGCGGTCCTACGGACCCTCCAGCAGAAGTCATCACTAAGCCAGCAGTCATGGAGGCCACTAGCTGACACAAAGGCGACTGGCAATGCACTGAGCACTGGCTCTGCCCAGGCAACGCTGACATGGTGCAGTTCTCAGGTGGCTGCTTAAACTTCAGGGGTCCAGAATCAGCTGGGGACTGAGACCTAGCCTCTGGGGAAGCCCTGGAGCGGCAAACTGTGCCAATGGCGGCTAAACTATGAAAAGCACCTTGAGTTGAAATTAGACTTTCTCCCTGCATGGAGTGAATGAGTGAAACTGGTAATACTGGAGCCTGAACTGCAGGTGACACTGGAGGCGCAGGGGACTGAACTGCAGGTGACACTGGAGGCGCAGGGGCCTGAACTGAAAGTGACACTGGAGGCGCAGGGGCCTGAACTGCAGGGACACTGGAGGCTCTGGAAACTGAACTGGAGACTGAACTGAAAGTGACGCTGGTGACTCTGGAAACTGAACGAAATGATGGTGACACTGGAGACTGAACTGCAGGTGACACTGGAGGCGCAAACTGAACTGGAGTGAACTGGTGGTGACTCTGGAAACTGAACTGAGGGTGACACTGGAGACAGAACTGAGAGTGGCTGCGGGGCAGCTAACTGAGCTGAGAGTGGCTGCTGAGCAGGTGATATGCTGTTCACAATATCATCTGCCGCACAGAACACCGCCCCTGAATGAACAGTCACACAGTCCGAAAACGGAAAAGAGTCCTCACTCACCACAGCCGGCGAATTAGAAGCCCGAACGTCCGGCTGTGGGGTGGCGCGCCTGCGGCGCGATCGGCGTTTCCTCCCCGCAGACGGCTCCGACGGGCCGGGCAAGATCACATCCGGCGAGTCGGGCAGCGAGGCAGGAGTGGCTGAGAGAAGGTGGTGTGTGCCGGAGAAAAGCCTGCATGGTCGGAGGAAGCGACTGTCAGAAGCCATGGCAGGCCAGAAAAGAGCCGTTGTAGCCGACTTTCCACGGCACGACGAAGCTCCTCGTACGGAGGATTCTCCAGCCACAGCCCGAGGAGGATCTCCACATTGTAGCTGATGTCATCCTGGAGCTCCTCGGACGGATTGGGTGCCGCAGGGTCCATGCTGGCTGGTTCGTACTGTCACGGTTTGCCGGTGGCAGACGTGTGGAGTTGTAGAAAGGACCCAAAAGGCGGCAGCTCTGGTGCAGGTGAGTATTTATTTACAGGAGTGGGTACAAACAGCAATGGTGGGTGAACATGAAACCGGAAACCTAAACTGGGTAAAACTAACAAAACAAACCAGAAACGAAGATGCAGGGAGGTCCGGGGAAATACATACGGAGAGACGCAGGGAGACCGAGGAGAAACAACACAGACGAACCAGCAACGACTAAGACAGAAGACAAGACTTAAAAACACTCAGAGAACACAGGGAGATCACACACACGGGTGGGGGACAAAACCCAGAATAATAATAACTACTAAAACATAAACACGGAGTCACAAACTCCGGATCATGACAACACCTTACCTTAAATGTAACTTTTTATTTCAGGTTAGGTTGGTATTAGGGCTGGGTTTTAATAATCGATTCATCGATTAAAATCGATTCTGGCTTGGATAACGTGATATCGATTCATTAAAATCCTGAATCGATTTTTTTATATAAATGTATTTTGCCCAAAATTCCAGAATCTCAGGTGAAACGTCACAAAATTTTGACAACCACCAAACATTTAAAACAGTAAATGAGAGCAGGTACACGGCTTCTGCACAAAGACGTAAACGCAAAGCTCGGACCTGCGGATCAGAATCGGTGAGATGTTGCCTTTCTCACCCGACGGCACGGACACGCTCGGTTTTGAAAGCCGACAGCTCGCTGATTCTGATGTTTCGGTGGGTCCACGCTTTGTGTTTACGCTCTTTTTGCGCTAATTCTAAAGCTGTTAGTTTTATCTCTCTGTGGTGAGAATAAGGCACGGCGGGACCACGGAATATCCTTTCGAGACATTTTTAGTCACACTCACCACAACAACAACCACACACACCTGAGTCCCTGTGTTTTAACCCAGCGGGCGTGATTATGAATGTCGTGCAGGTGCGTCCGCCCTCCCTGCACGGCACCGCAGACCACGCCCCACCACACTCTCTCCAAACAATATTGACCGAACCAGCAGAAGAAGATCCAAACTAAGCTTCACATAAACATCGTCAAGGACTCCCTCTGATTTTTGCTGTTTTGCTTCCACCACAATAAAATCACACTTCATGCACAGCTCTCTCTCTCTCTCTCTCTCTCTCTCTCTCTGTACTTCAAGAACAGTTTCCCATCTAAAAATCTGTTTTCTGCATTATTCGCTTGCTTGTTATGCACAAGTCTACCGTTATTTACAGCGCTGTCGGCCGATGTTTTTTTTTTTTTCCTTTTACTTACTTCCGAAAAGAAAACCTAATTTCTGCCGTTCAATAGGCTTCTAAACAAATTTAAACTTTTTAAAATTATACAAAATACAAAACGCTGTGTCTCTAATAAAACCGCTGTAACATCAGAGGTGATGTTCATAAGTTGATTAAAGATTTTCTTTCGTTTTTGATCTACTGCAGAATATTTTTATAAAATTCCAGGCCAGGAAAATCACCTTCATGTTTTTCTGTGTTTTATCTTCAGCTACTTTGACACAAAGGCCTCTGCTGTGATGCTCACACCTTTGATAAAGTCTGGAAAGTGTCAGCTTCCTTTTTATAGATACAAAAATATGTAAATGTACTGATCTGAATTATAATATTTCTGACTGTCTGAGGCAAAATTTCCCAGATTCAAATTGAATCGAATCGTGGATCGAATCGATTCAGGACCTTGTGAATCGGAATCGAATCGATTCTAGAAATCAGTGACAATACCCAGCCCTAGTTGGTATGTGCTAGTAAGTGGGATATGGGAGAAAAGGGACCATAAGTGATCATATATACAGTAAGGGCAACAGATTTGGATTATGTCTGAGTTTAGGGCTATTTTTTTACCTCAAATTCTGGAGTCGTTGAATGAATCATGAATAAAAAAATTACAAAAAGCATCTTACAGGAGAAAATCAGAACCACAGTCCATGACTTGAAACTTAGAAAGGTTAAGTGGTGCAAGCTAAACAAACAGAATCACTTAAAAAGAACTAAATTCATGTTTTCAAATGGTCAAGTCAAAGTTCAGACCTTAAGGCAACTGAAAAAGGCTGTTCCATCAAGATTTGATGCAGAAATGCTGCCAACCTGAAATTATTTTGTAGGATGGTGCAAAATTCCTCTACACACACACACACACACACACACACACACACACACACACACACACAACCTCATGAGTTTCAAGCAGCTTCAGACATTTCTCAGAGCCTCTGATAAGATCAACCGCATAGCAATTCTTACATTTTGTTTTTGCTCTTCTTTACTTCGGTGTTTCTCAATCAATTACAGGTAAGAAGAACAAGCTCCGTGTATACTACCTGTCCTGGCTGAGGAATAAGATTCTGCATAATGACCCAGAGGTTGAGAAGAAACAAGGCTGGACAACCGTAGGAGACTTGGAGGGATGCGTCCACTACAAAGTTGGTATGTTTATCACAAAAGGACATGTTGCATTTAAGAGTTTGGGAAGATTTCACTGTATTTATGAGCATAAATACTCATAACAGACTACCAAGGTGGTAAGTTTGAGATAAGGGCCCTCCACAGTGCAAAAGTGCAAGTGCATGGGGACTGTGTGTGGAGATCACAGCAGGGACTGGTGTTGTTTTTTTATTGACTTCACACCTAATGGGGGGTTACTTGCACACCACTCCTAAATGAAACTATTAACTGACCCATTCACCAGATTGCAAAATACACAAAGTCACAAAAAGGAAACCAAGAGGCCAACGTGCAGTGAACAAAGAGACAATCTGACAAGGACAAAAGGGATTAGTAGAATCTATAGTTTTTACTGATTGAATAATTACTTAGAAACCTGCTGGCAGCTGTAGACATGATAACTGGTCCCTGATATTGGTCACAGCCACCTCTTAGCTCACTGCCTGCAAAACAAGCAGCTTCTCCCCACCAGTTTTAACACAGACAGATGCTCATTCTCATGTAAAACTCTGAACTACTAGGAGAAGTTACTCTCTTCTGGGAAGTTGGCTGTAGCTATGCAGCTTTCTGAACAGAACAGATCCATGTACATGATACTTTTTAATTATTCAGTGCTTTAATAATTAATAAAATAAATAAAGTGATTCCCAAATTTTTCTGAGACATGAAGACTAAAATTAAATGTCATAGGAGAAATCTCTGACCTGTCTACCTCCCCTCACCCCCAACCACTCACAGGAAATGGCCGGCTCTCGCTGAACCTGGCTCTGCTGAAGGTTTCTTCCTGTTAAAAGGGAGTTTTCCTTCCCACTGTTGCCAAAGTTCTTGTTCATCTAGTTTTGCGGTCGTCTGATTGTTGGGGTTTTCTTTGTATTATCGTAGGATCTTTGCCTTACAATATAAAGTGCTTGAGGCAACTGTTATTGTGATTTGGTGCTATATAAATAAAATGGAATTGAATTGAAACTACAAATACAAAGAAACACAACAAAACAAAAACTTTAAATAGACAGGGATCAAAAGGTCAAGGTCATGTTTATTTATATAGCACAGGGGTGTCCAACTCCAGTCCTCGAGAGCTACTGTCCTGCAGCTTTTAGATGCATCCCTACTCCAACACAGCTGAATTAAATGGTTCCGCATGCCATCAAGGCAAAGGCCTAATAAGAAGCCATTCAAGCTGCAGGACAGTAGCTCTCAAGAACTGGAGTTGGACACTGATATAGCACATTTCCAAACAGTCCATGCTGCACAAAGTGCTTAACAATGCAAAACAACAACAAACACACTGCAACAAATTGGGAACAAGGTTGCCAAATATGTCTTTTTATCAGTGTCTATGAATATCAGCCTTTAGTTTCTGCTTTGTGCTTTTCATATGTAGGAATTCAAATCGGATATGTGCTTCGGGAACCTACACGCCATTGATAAATCATAGAATGAAAACCCTTGATTAAGTAATAATGTGGTAAAAGCATCTGAGAAGACATGCAAGTAGACCTTCCTGTCTAAAACTCAGAATGTCATTCATGATTTTATTGCTTTGCAAAGACTGGCACTTCCTGTTGGAAACTCCCATGTAGTGATCAGAGCTGTTGGCTGAGGAATCCGTTTCCCGTCCAACAGCTTTATTCATGCATGTTCATTATTTTCTTTAATCAGCACTTGTGGAAAGTACAGGGCTTTGCAGCAATGATGAGAAAATCAATATTGGAAAAGTAACATTTGTAACACTGTTGCCAAAACAGTGGGTTTATGTGGACGTAGGGGAAAAGAGCTGAGAGTGCACTTTTAACTGTGTTCCTCAGATGGTTTGCAAAAAGTAAGCTTGCACCGGGGTTGGGTTTAGAGGGCATTTACCTTATTCTACATAGATGTAAGCTGAAAGCAGCACTTTCTGTTAATTTAATTGTGCAGGCATTCTGGGCTAACCGTTTTCTTTTTAAGATGCCAGGAATTGTTGTTTCTGTGGTGCAATACAAACTGCTGTGAATATTTCAGATTAACCCAAATAAACATCAGTTAAAATAATAACTTTCTCCCTCCATTTGTTGCAATATTAAGTTGGTAAGCAGAGATGAGCCCACACTACTCTCCTGCCCTGTGGTAATCATGCTCTTTTTAAGTGATTTATTCCGATTTTTATTTCCCCAGTGAAATATGAGAGGATCAAATTCTTGGTTCTGGCTCTGAAGAACTCTGTGGAGGTCTACGCTTGGGCACCCAAGCCCTACCACAAATTCATGGCCTTCAAGGTAAGTAAACCGACCAGCTAGTTGTTGGTGCTATTGCTTGTTATTGTGCTCTTTGTGTTTTTTCTTTTCCAAATGATAGCAATCTATCATCTCTGTGTTTTGGCAAATATCTACTGATATTAAGCTGAAAGACTAAGATTTCTGATCTGTGTGCGCCTCAGTCTTTCGGTGATCTGGTGCATAAGCCGCTGCTGGTTGACCTGACTGTGGAGGAAGGTCAGAGGTTAAAGGTAATCTATGGCTCGTACTCAGGCTTTCACGCCGTGGATGTCGACTCTGGGGCCGTTTACGACATCTACCTGCCCACACACGTAAGAACACAGCTGTAAAATAACGCACATGCTTGTTTGTTGTATGTGTTAAAAGAGGAGTCACTCTTATAATGTCTGTTGTTTTTCCTCCAGATCCAGACGAGCATTCAGTCTCACGCAATCATCATTCTGCCTAACACTGATGGCATTGAACTGCTCGTGTGCTACGAGGACGAGGGTGTTTATGTCAACACCTACGGACGCATCACCAAGGACGTGGTGCTGCAGTGGGGGGAGATGCCCACCTCAGTGGGTGAGTAACTGGGTGAAAAGCTACACAAACACCTGCCCTATAATGTTTTCTTGTCTGTCTAGGTCAGTGTTGCCCAGCCTTTTTGCCTCACAACCCTCCAAGAGCTAAAGTGTCCCTGCACCTACACCTTTACACCCGATTTATTTTTTTTTAAAGTGGTGCTTTTTTTCTGTTAATGATTAAAAATCATCAACAAGTCGATTGTTTTAGCACATTTATGTTTGACACCTCTGGTTTAGGGATTTAACATTTTCTTTGTCTTTAAATAGAGTTAGATATCCGTATACTAACTAAAACATCTCTTCACAGCCTACATTCGGTCTAACCAAATCATGGGTTGGGGCGAGAAAGCCATCGAGATCCGCTCTGTGGAGACCGGTCACCTGGACGGCGTCTTCATGCACAAGAGAGCTCAGCGACTCAAGTTCCTCTGTGAAAGAAATGACAAGGTGAGATTGGCATGTCAGCTTTCTGATTAGCACCATGGCCAGTGACTCGTGTACATCTTTGGGATTAGTCAACTTTGTGTTTGCTCGATAAAAATAAAACACAAGAAAACCCTCCTCCAAGCAAATAAGAACAGCTCCTCCAACTTGACTGCAGGCCATCTGAGAAGCATCTTTTAAAATCAAACTGATTTTGTTTACAGATTTTAAGTGATGAAACATGAAAAAGGCTCCCCTTATGTCTTCAGTTACATGCAAACACACGGTGACTACCTACATCAGATGTGCCAGGTTAGCTGTGAAGCTAAATCCTGGCATCAAATTTGTTTGCACAATTTCTGTTGACTCAGCTGTGGAAGTAACTTAAGGCCGCTCTAGTTTCTCTTCTCTCTTTTTTTGGACTGTTTTTCTCTTTTTGTGGGTCTGTATTTTTGACAGTATGTGCGGTAAATAATGGGAACTTTTAGAGTACGTAACATATGAGAAATGAATGAAGAAACTTTTAACCACCCGAGTTTTGTTTTTGAGTGTTAGTGACTTGTGAAATCATTTAAGACCTCCCCAGATAATTTTATTTGAATATTCATATATACAAGTGTGTGTGTATGTATGTATGT